TAATCCACAATATTCACCAATAACATAAGTTTAATTTAAATCTCAGTTCACAAATCACAACAAATCACGTAGCGGCCTATCCGGGCCGAAGACCCACGATTACCGTCATGAATAATCAACAAACTGAATTACAATTAACCCAACTTACCTGCGCGGAATCAAGAATAAGGAATCAATCCTCGGGCCTGCTGCCCCCGCCGGAGCAGTCCCCATCGTCACCGGAACAACCCCAGCACCCCCGCCGGTAGCCGCCCCGGCTGCCCAAACCCAAACCCAGACCAAACAGCCCCGATGGGTGGTTCACAGTAACCCGAACAGTACATCAATTAACCCAAAATAGTTCAATCACATCCAATTGCACCCAATTGAATCTAAATAGGCCAATTGAACCCGATTGAACCCGTTTGGACCCAATTTGACCCAATTGCACCCAATTGGACCCAATTAGTTCCAATTGGATCCAATTTGTCCAAATCTAGATGCTGCCCTATTCCGACCACCTCGCTGCCGCCGTTGCCGGCGGTCGCCGGAGGAGATGACGGGAAACAGCCCCCCCAACACAAATTTCATAATTTCAACACAACATTCACAATTCTCATTCAAATTAAAAGATTATACGCTAAGGAAGTTCTAATCTACGAATTAACGCTAACAGAAGGTATAGAAACCACAAATCACCTCGAAAAACGATGAATTGAACTTGAATCGGAGTGAATTCGCCGCTGCAACTCTTCCCTGGTTTCGCCGGCCTGCTGCGCGTGACGGAGGGACGAGGCGAGGACGTCGGTCCGAATCCCTAGCGTCGACGGCGACGACAGCGGCGAAGGTTCTCGACGGTTGCTGCGGCTGCTAGCTCTCCCTGGCAGACGGACGGCGAATAGAGGCGAAACGGACGAAGTGCTTAAGTCTCGTAACTCCCCCACTCCCTATTTAATATAAATTTAATTAAATTTTAAGGTCCAGTTTACACTTTCTAACTGGTTAGGATAAATTTAGGCCCAATTACCTCATTCGGCAGTCGTATCTTGGGCCCTGCAAGTCCAATTCTCAATCCATTTGCGCGGTCGGGTTTAGAACAGCGTGTCGTACAACGTAGGTCAACCCCCATATTAATTATGCAAATTAGAAAATAATCTTCGTATTGATCGGCCCAATAATTAATTAATTCTACAAATTAATTAAAATACTAAGCCGAGTTTCGGGGCGTTACATTTCACTCCCCCTTAAAAGAATTTCGTCCTCGAAATTATCTGAGTCATTGTCACCAGAAAGGTGAGGATACCGAACTCTCATGGAATCCCAGTCTCCCACGTGGCTTCTTCAACGGCATGGTTGCGCCACAGGACTTCGACCAAAGGCACCCGCTTATTTCTCAATTGTTTCATCTCTCATGATAGGATCTGCATAGGTTCCTCCTCATAAGTCATGTTATCGTCCAAAGTGATTGTTCCCTCGGGTAACCGATGGGTCAGATCTAATCGGTAACATCGCAACATAGAGACGTGAGACACACTATGAATCTTGTTTAGTTCAGGGGGTAGCTCCAACTGATACGCTACAAGACCAACTTCCGCTTTCGGAGATCATAGACACCAGCACTCTATGATACGCTACAAGACCAACTTCCCAAAGCTTGTTGAAATCCCTTCCTAATCTTTGAAATGAAATACGGACCCCTTTCGGAGATCATAGACACCGGCACTCCATGCAATCGAATAATCTCGCGAAGATACAATTCCGCTAACTTCTGAAGCGACATACCCCATCGAACAGGTATAAAGTGTGCAGATTTTGTCAGACGATCCACAATGACCCATATAGCATCGTAGGGGTAAGCCAATTACGAAATCTATCGTGATCCACCCATTTTCACTCGAGGATAGAAGGCAGATGTAACATTTTAGACGGTACCCAATGCTCGGCCTTGACTTGCTGGCAAGTCAAACCGTGTTGTAAACTCAAAGACATCTCCCTTCACAACGGGCCACAATAGTTTCCTTACAGGACATGATAATTCTTATTAATACCCGGTTGTAGAATACTTGGAGAACACTCCGGTGTTTCTCCCTGGCAAATCTGAATAACGAAGAAACGAGGAGAAGATGATACGATGAAGAGTGCTAACTAAATTGGTGAAA